CCAATTGATATGTAGCAAAACGTTAGCAGACTTGTTCGTTCGCCATATACCAAATAGCAATGATCTAAATATAACACAACCTAGCGTAAATATAAGTCTCTTGTCGTGAACGTGTTTCGGGGCCACAATTCAAGAAATCGTACAAAGTTGTGCGCATACTCCGACCCTAGGTGTTTTCCTTACTTCTATCATCTGCGGTCTTAAATTATTTTTGGCCATTTATTAAAATCTGTGTTAATTGTTAGCCATTATTAGATTTTTTTCCTTTCTCCTGAACACGTTGTTTGCTTGAGTGCCACCATCAGTCTGTAGAGTCCTTCATGATATCAGTCTGTAGAGTCCTTGATGATATACGGAAACAGGTGGCCCGTAGGCCACACATCGCTGCCTTAGTTCCATTTTTTGTAATTTTGCGGCAGCTTGTTTAAATACTAAGTGGTGCTAGCGCAATTTTCTCCTGTGGGATATTTCATTTTAAGAGACGTGACTTGTAAGCATTTTTTAGGAGCTTGTTCTTAAACTCGTAGCTTGTATTGTAGCCGACCGCATGTACACTAGAGCATTGGATGAGCCAGGCCGTTTCCCGGCCCACGAATCGTGCCCGGGCAAAAATAAAGCATCTGTAGAAAGTGGGCATTCATGCTACCTACGGTGTTTGCTTCACTTCGGCAGAATGCATATTCAGATGTGTCATTGTCATCGGCAGCAGCCTGACTACGCCCACTGCAGGCCAAACGTCTTTCATATGATCCGCCAATATAGTCTTGTGCTTTCTGCTGCCACGTTATACCTGCGAACTTCTTAATCCCACATTCTCAGCTAACTTTCTATCTCCCCTTCGTAGGTTCGCCTTCTCTGGGAAGCTAATCAGTCCTCCTAAATACCAGTGGTTATCCTGCCTACATGCTACGTGCTCGGCCCGTGTTCGTATCGTCTTCTTGATTTCAACTATGATAACCTTAGCGCCACTTCGTTTCCTAACGCGCTCTGCTCTCTCTTTATTATCTTTTACTATCATTTCGACTTCCATTGCTCGCTGCGTTGCCTTCAATTTAAACTGAACCCTCTTTATGAGCCTCCAGGTTACTACTCAGTAGGTAAGCACCCGCAAAATGGAGATTTTATATACGTTTCTCTATAGAGTTAGTGATGTATTACCATTCATGATTTCAGAATGCTGGCAGAATATGATTCACTCCATCCTTATTCTTCCTTTATTTTACTCTCATGGTTCGCCTTCACGGTTACTACCTATTCTAAGTAGACACATTTCTTTAAAACTTGCTGTGTCTCTTCACTTATCACAAGGTGTTGTTTTCACCGAGAGTGTTGCACATTACTTAGGTTTTGGGCATATCATCTTCATACCTACTCTACTGCTTTCCATGTCCAGTTCAGTAATCATAAGCTGATACTCTTCTCCTGAGTTACTCATCAAGGCAATGTCATCAGCAAATTGAAGGTTGCTAAGATGCTCTCCAATAACTCTTATCCTTAACTTTTCTCAATCAAGGGTTCTCAAAACCTTCTATAAACAAGTGGTGAATAGCATTAGATAAATCGTGTGTCCATGCGTACTGCCTTCAAAATTGGGATTCTGTCACTTTCCTTATTGACAACTATGGTTGCTGTGGATCCACTGTAGACTTCTTACATTATGTTCATGTAAGGTTCTTCGATGCTGCCCTGGTTTCGCAGTGTCTGCATTACTAATCAAGTCTCGACTGAGTTAAATGCGTTCACGTAATTTTTGAAAGAGAAGTATAGGGTTTCATTCTACTTCGCGCATTTCTCTATTACCTGATTGATAGTCTTAATGTGATCTATTGGGAAGTAGCCTGTAAAAATTCTGTTTGGTGCTTTCGCTGAATGAATCCTAATGTCGCCATAATTCTACTAGTTATTATTCTGTAAATAAATTGCGGAGAGCAGACAGCAACAAATGAGCCTGTAATTTTTCAAGTATTTCACGTCTTCTTTCTTATAAATTGAAAAGATATTGACGTTCTGTTAAGATGTTGGTACCTTTCCCGTCGAGAGACACTGTTTATATAAGGCTCCCAGTATTTTTCCGCTGTCTTTCAGCAGGTACGTTGCTAACTTATCCTCATCAGTGTCTTTGCCTTACTTCACCTCTCGTTACTGGTAGGATGTCGAATTCCTCTTCGCTAAAATTGTTTGTTATAATTTCATCCTAGTTGTTTCGGCTTGTGTACAGCTCTTTGTAGGGCTCTTCTGCCACCTCAGCTATCCTATTCATATTGGTTATGACATCGCCTTCCATATCCTTTAAATCATGGATACGAGTTTTGCCTATGCACAGGTTTGCCTTCACAGCTTTCAGGCTTCTGCCACTTTTTACAGACTGCTTTATTCTCTCCATGTTAACCGTTCTAAAGTTGGCTACCTTGCGCTCTATATTCCTGCACTTTCCCTTTCAATGCAAGCTTTTTATTTGCTATCTTGAATATAAGTTTATGCTTTGTTTTTTTTTAATATGGACAAATGGGAGCTGTTACTATTTTATGGTAACTCTATCATAGAGAGATAGCGAAACGAGGTAGTGTATCGCACTGGCTCCGAAGATGATGCCCCGCCATGGTGGTCTAGCGGATAAGGTGCTCGGCTGCAGACCTGCAGGTCACGGGATCAAATCCCGGCTGCGGCGGCTGCATTTCCGATGGAAGCGGAAATGCTGTAGACCCGTGCGCTCAGATTTGGGCGCACGTTAAAGAATCCCAGGTGATTGAAATTTTCGGAGCCCTCCACTACAGCGTCTCTCATAGTCATATGGTGCTTTGGGGACGTTAAACCCCTCATCAATCTATTACATGTCATCCTAACTTTTGTGTGCCCTACTACATCCCATTTAGCTCTCTCTAATACCTGGAATAACACAACTACACTAGCCCCCCTAAATAGCGTTCAAGCGTTGAACGTAGCCATGTTCAGATCTCTAACTAGTGTCCCGCGCAAACTGCTAGAACATGTCATTGCCTCTAACGTCGCTTAGCACCTCGAAGCTAACAAATTTTTTTACCGGAACCAACATGGGTTTGGAAAAGGTTTTTCATGTGACACTCAACTAATGGAATTCACGAATGATATGTTCATGCTCATGGATAAATACCTTGACATTGACTGCATATTCGTTGATTTTTCCAAAGCTTGATCGTGTTCCACATTGTCGCCTCATATCTAAACTATCATCATTAAATCTGGACTTGACATTATCCTGAATAAGAAACTTACTTTCATTCCGTAAACAGTATACCGTTGCTAATTCATCTTCATCTCCTTTACCCGATGTCACCTCCGGTGTGCCGCAAGGCAGTGTTCTCGGTCTCTTGTTATTTTTAATCTACATCAATGACCTGCCATCGCCTATCTCTTCTAACATACGACTCTTCGCAGACGATTGTATCATCTACCGTAAGGTAACTTTAACATCAGATCACCTCGCTCTTCAGGAAGACCTAGACCTCATGACTAATTGGTGCTCTCGCTGGCAAATGTCGCTTAACACTGACAAATGCAAGCTCATGATCTTTAGCCACAAGAAATCATTTTCTCTTTTTACTTATACTCTTAACAACTGTCACGTGAAGCACGTATCATCATATAAATACCTTGGCGTGCATCTTTCTCCCTCACTATCACGGTGCATGCATATAGGAAAAATTTCAGCACAAGCATCCTGCACTCTCGGTTACCTCAAACGTAACGTTAATTACGCTCCAACTTCAACCAAAGCACTTGCATATCTAGCCTTCGTTCGTCCTCAACTTGAAGTCGCGTCATCAGTTTGGTCACCTCATCAGGCCTACCAAATTAATGCCCCCGAACGTGTTTAAAACCACGCCGCACGCTTCATCGCGAAAGATTACAGCCTACATTCCAGTATCACTCACATTAAATCATCACTATCACTGCCTCCCTTAGATTCTTGCAGAAAGATCGCCTTGATCTGCCTGTTTCACGAAATAGCATCCGGTAAGCACGAAACCACCCTCCCTCTCACCCAGCCAACACACACTTCTCGCCGTTTGCATGACAACCGTTTTTTCAAACGCATTTTTAGGCACACGAACGCATACAACTCTTCAGCATTACCAGTAGCTCTTGAAATATGGATTGGTCTCCCGATAATGTTGTCAACATTCATGATCCTGTATTGTTTCGTCACGAAGTAACAATCATTTTTTCATCGCCAGTGGCATAAACCTTGCACTAAATCTGTATATTGGTCTTTGCTGTATATTTTGTAATTTTGTATAGTTATGTGCCGCACGCTTAAAAATGAGTTTCTCTGCAGTTTGTTTATTAGTTCCATGTCATGCCTGCTCTCGCTAACAATTATATAACGTTAGTTTTATGTTATATAACGAGTATACTCATGTTTTGATATTTCAATAAATGTGAATATGCACTGTATATAGCCCCCCCCCTCACACAATACTCCTGAGGGAACCTGTGGGGGTTTTGTGAATACATAAATAAATAAATAAATAAATAATGTTGGCCTGTCCAGATCCAGAGATTCTTAGCAGCCTCCTCTGTGTCACAGGTCGGACCGACGCTTTGGAAAGTTGCTTCACTGCCGCAGGGGCCTGAGGGCCAAGGTTTAATTGCTGTAATCACGGGAGGTAGTTGCCAAGAGCTGCACCATGGTGGCCAATCCTGCTCTCGTGAAGAAGTGCGTTACCTGCTGGTGGTCGCCAGTGAGGCCGCACTTCATATTTACTTTTGAAATCTTTTTAACGATCCCGTTATCAAGCGTTTTAAGTAAAAATGTGATTGGGAATGGTCCTGCATCTGCATTCAAATTGAAATAAAATGTGTATACACTCTTACGGCAGTAATTACAGTTTGTACACACGCCCTGTAGTGGACGTACTTAGGCTGACATCTGAGTATAATATTTTGCATTATCTCTCTGTGCGTTCAGAAAAACAATCTCATGACATTTGTCTTGATTTTTTCATATACTAACATTCCAGGTTCCAGTCCCTCGGTTTAGTCGGTGCCGTTGGCGGTGCTGTAATGGGCGCACTGTCGGCGCAGTCACTTGGGCGCTGCCGCACCATGGCAGTCAGCGTCATTGGGATCCTCTGCACCTGGCTGTGCGTTGGCTGCGCGCAGGAGGTGTGGTATCTCTACACGGGACGCTTCATCAACGGTTTCTTCGCCGGCATGTTATCTCTTGTGGTGCCGGCCCAGATCTCCGAGCTTGCCGACCCAAGAAACCGAGGCCTACAAGTAAGTTCTCGCGATTATCGTCTTTAGTCAGCTGTTTGGAAGCCTATATGTACTGTCAGTTTATGAAGAGAGGATAGGCCAAGAGTAAAGAGTGTGCGTTGACTGCTGCAAAACATCTATAGTTAGCCAACATTTACCTCAGTGCGACACTGTGAAATCTCAGTACTTGTAGTTTGGCCACAATTACGAGCACACATATTAGACAAGAAAAGAAAACTTCGAAGTATACCGTACACAAACATGGAATTGACGAATGCGGGCACCACCATTAAAGATGAAGCAAAAAAAATGTTCTTGAGCGCTGGAAAAACCTAAAGGGGCTTCAAGACAGCGCTTCCGTCTCGAAAGAAATTGCGGTACACAGGTTATTGCTTCTCCACATATATAATTCTGTCTACTTGTGTAACTACCCTGAAATTCAGTTGAACCACAGGAAATGCGCAGGAGGAAACGCACAGGTGGAAATGCTCATAAAATACAAATATTGGAACCCATGCACTCAACACGAAAAGCTGTCTTAAGATTAAATACGGGTGCTATAGTAGGATTGCGTGTTGCGATTTGCTCACATTTTATGGATTAAAACGCAGCATACCTTATGCTTCCGGGTAAATTTCTCGAATGGTACTGAATTCACACAGGTACGTTACAGCAGCTTGTGGCATGAATATAGGGCTTCGAGAAATACAGGAGTCAGCATGATCTTTTCGTGGTCCTGTTTATGATAAACTTTGCTCTGGCTCATGTCCTAATAGAGCTGTTACTGATTCCTCTTATCTTAAGGTTCTCATAGGTGCTGTCTTCACGTGGAAAAGCTGCAATCTGAAAATCTACCTCTAAATAAAATGATATTGCATTCATTTCATTTTTTAAAAGTCGTTTTTTTGTAGGATTACTAGCAATATATTGCATAACAATGCTTAGAACCAAAATTTCTTAGCGGTGGCTGTATTGTAAGAATAAAGAATTACCAAGGTGAAAGTCTCAGATGCCCCTTCTAATGTGAGATTGGTATATGGCGTCATCAAGAATTCACGGATCCCAAAAATTTGAGATGTCACAATAATGTCCATATGACGTCAGAAAACGTAAGGTCATCTTATTATATAATTACATGGCATCATCGCTCGGTAATCGCGGAGTGATCACGGAAGCAATGCAAAACCAGATGAGATGCAGATCACTTGCAATGCCTCCGGTTTTGGAGGCAACCGCCAAATTAAGCTGGGTACAGAAAGGTTTCAGAGAGAAACTGGGGAGTATCAGTAAACTGAGTGAGAAGAAAGCCGGATTTATACCGCTTTGAAGCCGTGCTCATCGAAGTCGTGAGAGAGCACGTGAACTTCGTATGTATGGTAGGTGGAGCGTTGCATATTAGATGTTTATTTTATTACCTTACTTATTATTATTCGTTGTCGCAGCAGAATGACCAGGCCGTGTTTCAAAAATGCCGTTTTAATTACTTTAAGTTTGTATTGCAGTATACGTCACTATATCAACGTTAACAAGCACTGTTACTGTAGCCAGGCAGAGCCAAGCATATACATCTGGCCTTTTCGTAGATACATGGTTATTCGCCCGTATATTTGTGGTTGACAGTTCAACAAAATATTGTGTGCACAAGTAAAGACATTGTGAAAAAAAATAGTTCAAAGCAAAACAAAACAGATTACAGAATTTCCACGTATTCCGCACCCTCAATTTTCGTTTTGACATAGGTCAGCGATGGTTTTTTTTTTTTTTTGACAATGTGTGCATTCCTGTGTAGTAAATAGAAAAAATATTCTGCAGAACCCCCCGTCCCCCCCCCCCCCCCAATGCCCGGTAACACGCATTGCTACTGTGAACTCTTTGCTGTCAACCCTACAAAGCATGTTTCTTACTTTAGCTTGTGTAGAAGAGATCTGCGACAGGGCAATAGATGCGCTTGCTCTACTATATAAATGGGTTATATTCGTAAAGTTGACTCTTTTACAGCGAAAGCTATTATGAGATCAAAACTCGCGTTACAAGCCACCATAGATGTCCGCCGCCACCACCGGTGTCCATAACAACTTCGCATGCAATTAGAAAAAAAACTTGTACCAATTGAATAGTGGAGCTCAAACCCGGATTCACTGGGTGCCAGCCCAGTATTATAATACTGAGTCACGCTGGTGCTTGGAATCTGTTGGGAAACTTGCCTCAGGCTGGCTTGATAATGGGAAAACAATCGAGTTAATATCACTTATGAAGCGTTTCAAAAAAGCGAAACAACGAGCAGTCGTCGCACAAATCGAATAGCGTAACGAGGTGGTCGTCGAATGCTCCGATTCATTACAAAAACTTCTTCTTGTTCACCCATTAACTGTGGCGGATACCCACTTCAGGCATGATTCCTCACCGTCGTCAGCCACTGCATGAACAGTTGGCACAAATTTCCTTGCAGGTGTTTAGCGGATACCAGAATCCTCAGAAAAATTACAAAAACTAGAACAGCGACTACTGTCCTACTACGCATTTTTTTATTAATGCCATGGTGGATATCAAGCAAGTGTACTTCTAGTGGTGTCAAATGAGCCCTTAGAAAAGGCCCTGAAAGGTTGCTCTTCTAGCATTCGCTGTGACTGTGCTGCTCCTTCCACGCAGGCTTAGCGTTTTCGGACGTTAACGTTATGAAGAGAATGACGGCAAAACGTTAAGATTTAGAGATACATGGTTTGGTAATATTGGCGCCTAAAATAATAGCTGCAAAACAGCACAATATGTGCACCACCTTAATGCATCAACTCTATCACAAAATATATTATTTTGAATTAGCACAAATAGGAGCCTGTAATTGCGATACTGATGAATATGCCTGTTTCATCAATAGAAACTTGCGCAACAATTGACAATGATTCAAACGAGAACAGCAGTTCAACGCCTTCTGGCGTTTGTGATTCCATGCGTCCGCATGCTCGTTCAATCATGTAAGGAACTTCCAGTGCATAGTAGGAAACAACTAAACAGTAACAAAGTAAATACAAGAGTGCAGAGGGCGTCCTTTTTATTGTCTTCTTGCCCTCAGACCACCTTCGCTTATTTTTATGCTTCCATTATGTTTTTTCTTTGAGTTAAAATATTTCTAGTGCGATCCGCCACCAACTGAGGCCTAGCGACGCGCAAGTGCAGCTTAGGCGTTTCATGTAACGAAGAGCTCTTCACAAATGGGAGAATCCCAGACAACTGCGTTGCACCTACTGACCACCGAGTGCATGCGACAAATTATGTTGACCAACAAACAATTTTTTTTAATTAACCAAGATTCAATTGTGAATTACCAGAGGCGCATGTACCGTGCAATGTCAGAGCGCCTCAAACAAAACCTATGGTAAAAGTGGTCGGAGCCCTACACTGCGGCACCGCTTACATTCATATCATAATATTTGGGCGGAAAACGCCAGATAATACAAGCAGATGGCTGACGGTGTTTGAAGAGAGTTGAAATATACGAGTTGCTTGGCTGATCATTCTTATTTCGTGCTTTAAAAGTGTGCGAAATATGCGAGGGGTATCTAATCTTCCTCGAATTTAATCCTTCGTTGTTTGCGCAGGGTGCCCGGCATTTTATAGGCATGCTCTTTGGCTCGATATACGTGACACTCCTGGGACGCTATGTCACGTGGTCCATGTTGGCGTTCACGTGCCTCTTACCAGTGGCGGTACTGGTTCCTCTGTCCTGGTTCCTTGTCGAATCGCCACGCTGGCTTCTGCAGGTACGAAAGCTGCAGGGAGCTGTACAGTCTACATATTCGAAGTAAAGAAATTCCATAGAGAATTTCTTCAGTCTGCGCACAGCTCACAATCGCTTTAAATGACAATATATTGAGTACGTTTACACGATTACACGATTTGCCTAAACATAAATAGCGTACACGCCAGAGGTTCTTTTTTGTCTCTATAGAGTTCTTTATTATAGTCACAGTGTCAGTCCTCGCGTCTGGTTTAGGCAAATACGTCTGCTGCATGAAGGCGAACACACAGCTTGAAAGCACAGCTTGTCTTTGGCGTGAAAGCGGGAATAGAAACACCAGTGTTTACTGAATGAATAGAGTGCTAATCCTAATATTTCAATGTATCAGGGCGAGAACCTAGAACACGCGTCAAGCAATTCGGCAGGTTTGAATTCAACTAAAAAACTTAAAGCGTCATTGTCTGATCATGTACAAATAACCACCAAAGATATTATTTTAATCCTCTGCTAAACATCACTCAAGGGTTTTAGCTGTGCAGTATATTTCTTGCTTAGGTAGAAAGCTGGTAGGGAGAAGCATTCGATTCGCGGTCATCAAGTGCCATTTTTTACTTGAGTCGGCAACGCCATATATCACAAATACGGTAATGTTCACAACAAGAACATCCTAAATTAAAAATAACATGTGTCGGAGTTGAAACATATCAAAGCGATGTTTTCTGTATTCGTGAAGTCTTGTTCTACTAGCTATGGTTTACACATATAGTACTAATCAAGACAGGGGATGAAGGTGCAGAAGAATTCACGCTGCTTGACAAAAAGCCTTGCTATCTGGTAAACGGGCTTCAATGAGCGATGAAACTGATTTCGCAGATTGGCCAGCGTGAAAGAGCCATGGAAATGCAGAGAAACCTGCGCAAGGAACCAGTGGAGGCCAACGCAGAGTTCAAGCTTATGGAGAAGGCATTTTCTGGAACCCCCATGCCATCGCTACACTACTGGCTATCCACGCACATCATGTTCACGCAACAGTTCTGTGGAGCCAATATGGCAGCAACGTGCGCAAGTGTGCTTATGGGTCCAACAGGAGTCTATGCAGACAGGGAAGATACCGATCTGGCCATACTTATTACTCAGGTGATGTTCGTTTCCTGCATGCGACTTCCCCTGTACTGCACATATTCAGAGGTATGAGTTAGTTGAAAAGACCTGCTATTGGCACCACCACCACCACTGCACACAGACAGACAGACAGACAGACAGACAGACAGACAGACAGACAGACAGACAGACAGACAGACAGACAGACAGACAGACAGACAGACAGACAGACAGACAGACAGACAGATGGGCGGACGGATGGACGGACGGATGGACGAATAGATGGATAGATGGACAGACGGATAGATGGTTGGATGGATAGATAGATAGATAGACAGATAGATAGATAGATAGATAGATAGATAGATAGATAGATAGATAGATAGATAGATAGATAGATAGATAGATAGATAGATAGATAGATAGATAGATATGGTGACGAAATAGTCAATGCTGCCACGAGAGCCAGCCCGAGTTTATACTTTGCCGTCGACTGGTGTTTAAGGGTAACTCTGGATCTAAAACTCAGCAGGTTGTGATATCTTCTCATGTCATGCAGTGGGGCTTTTGCTTTCATTACTGGCGTAACAAAGGTGGCGCAACTTCAATTACTGCGTGTACCATTATCACTGCCACTCATTAGAAAGTATTAGAGTCCAATAACAATCTATTCAGGATATATAAATATGCACACAATAATGAACAGGGGGAGCACTTACCAATGCCTTTGCATCAAGTCAATTGAACATAGCTTGCAATAGTATTTACGGTCTGTAACGTAGTTTTAACCGACAAGTTAAGCAAGAAGTGCTACTGAATTTGCGACAGATGCTAGACTGTGGTGCCAATTTCAGTAATGTATGAAGTCAGTCAAAGTGAAAGACCTTTTTTCACCTACAGGTGGCTGTGGCTCTCGCTGCTCTTCCTCTGGTAGACACGGTGGGTCGCCTGCGGTTGCTGGTGGTCTCTGCTAACGTATGCGTCGCAAGCATGATATCGTTGGGCAGCATGTACCCGAACATGCTAATTGACGCTGCCAGTGAGACCACTACCAGCACGCTATCTACAGCAGCGAATGCCAGCGAACTCGATGTGGGCGTGACCATCGTTCCTGGGAGCCGGCTGGGACTCGTCTTCTTGATCGTCTTTTTCTTCGGATATGCACTGGGTATTGGATCTGTCACCTGGATACAGGTAATATAAAATGCTTAGTTTTCCTCATCATTATCATACTAATCAACAGCAGTGACAGCCTGACTACGTCATATGCAGGGAAGAGGCCTCCATGTTCGGCGAAGCAGCCCACTCATATACTTTGTGCTGTTCGATATACCTGCAAACTTTTACATCGCCTCAAACTCCTAATATTGTCTCCCTTTAACGTGTTCACCTTTTCTTGGAATCCACTCAGTTGCCCTTAACGACCAGCGGTTATTCTGCTTTAGCGCCACATGCCCGCCGCATATCGATTTGTTGTCCTTGATTGTAACTATTACATCCTTAGCCCCGTTTTTTTTCTCTGACCTACTCTGCTCCTTCATGCCTATTAAGATTTCATCTATTACATTCCTTTCTATCGCTCACTGTATCAGTCAATTTAGGTTAAACCCAGTTTTTAAGCATCCAGGTTTGTGCTGCGTAAGTAAGTACAGACAAGATACAGTTTTTATGCACCTTCCTCTTCAGGCATAGTGGTAGAGTACCCGTGATGATTTTAAAATGCCGGCCGATTTAATGCTTTAGGCAAGAAAAACCACATGCTTAAAAAGAGCTTCATAAATTTAATAACCCAGAACAGCACCTAGTAAATACCTCCCTACGAATCATGCTTAAAACACCTCTGGAACAAATTGAGGAGGCGGCAACGCCCTTGCCCCCTAAACGTAAAGCGGAAACTTCGGATAGTGAGGACAGACCTACATACTCTACCACCAGTAATACCACATTTATTGACCTGATGAAATCAGTTAGAGAATTCAGTGCATAGATTCCCACAACGTCTTGCCTCATGCATACGCTCACCGATTGTATAGACACGCTTACTCAATTATTAAAACAGCAAAATAAACACTTTAGCCAAAGAATGATGGCAGTGGAGTCGTGGACACCCCCTTAGCCATTGAATGGAATGGCACCTGAAACTCAGCCATCGCACCCTTTTCGCCACCCACCAGTTTGATTCAGGCGGCAACATTTATACCCCCCCCCTCCTCACCACGGCTAAGCAGCCTACGTACCACGTCTGGCAGTGGGATTGTCGAAACTACGCGAATAATAAAGCTATTTTAACCCAGTACACTCGTGTTAAGAACAAGCCGGTTATTATCAATCTACAGGAGTCGCGTGGTTTCGCCAAATTAGCAGGGTATCACGTAATTGGCGGTGCCACTGGAGATACTACCACCCTTACAGCCCTAGTCCACAGAGACCACAGTGTTATACAACACGATACACAAAGCCGTATACGTATACGCACCGATATTCTGCAAGCCAAATTCGGTATTATACCAAATTCTTCATAGTTAAATGACACATCCAAACATGATAATCGCGACATTCATGTCATCTAACAATATGACTACATGTCACACTGATAATGCGCTCGCTGCCGTTTTGCTAGTTTCACATATGCCAAAATTTAGTATTACGTGACGCCAACGGATGATGAAGGTATGAGACTGGTGCAACCATGATAATTATGAGATGCGTGTCATTTGTGAACATGACTACATGCCACAGTCAAGGTGCCAATACATTTCGACTTGACGCAGTGCGCGTGCTCGCTGGTGTTCATTTCGTCGCGTCACGTCATCGTTGCCACGCCAGGCGCCGGTCCCGCTTTATAGTCGCAGGCGCGTGCCGCGCTGCGTTGCTTTGACGTATGCGCGTTCCAGCGCGTCCGGCGTCTCTCCGTCACGAAAAGAGGGAGGAGCAGTGTTGTCTAGGGATTATACCATATTCACTCATACCAAATTCGGTATTACGGGACGTGAACAGATGACGAATGTAGGATAGTGGCACACTTGCCAGCTATCAACACTGTTGACGAACGCGATAGCTACACGTCTGCCATTTGTGAGCGTTAGGCATTTGACTCATGGCAGTGGCCAGTTTGGCATAAATGGACAGGTGGTTAACGTGCCGATTGACATGGCCAACACTGTGCAGTGTCAGCCGCAGGACGTTCCCAAAAACGATGCATTCAACGTACACATTCGCCAGCTCATCAACAAGACTTCTTACCACCGTAGTCTCTCCAAAAAGCGTGATGTGCACCTCCGAGCAAGCTTTCCTAACCCCGATCAATTTGTGAAAATCGCGGTGATTTCGTTCAACACTCTTTGTGTAACTGCTAAAAGCACACTTATCCCCTATGTCATGAATAACGATATTATTCCTGTAAATATTCAGATTCTCAAATAGAATTTATCGTACCATGCCATGGGAAGGCATTTACTCTTTCATTCTTCGGCAAAGCGTTATACCCTTTGCACACTTGCAAAGAATTTCGTGCAATATTTTGATGCTGCGGCTGCCTACGATCAACAATTATGGCTATAACGTTTTTAATGGAGGTTTGGGCATTCGACGTCCCACTTGTTGCGCCATTTGCATTGTGTGACGTCTTGTTTTAAATGCGAAGAATTTCTTACCAAACTTCGGCGACTTTGAGCATATCTATCTGTCTATCTATCTATCTATTTATCTATCTATCTATCTATCTATCTATCTATTCATCAAGCTATCTAGTCGCATACGACTTTTAGTTCTCCTGGCCGTTTCGATAATGGTATCGATACCAAACTTGGTATGGCATAACATGACTGTGTTATGAATATAATTGCATAGTCATAACGTTAAATGACATGTATGCCATGAATCTAATGAAATATATTTCATGGCCCTGGCGCTCTTGCGGTGGTTTTGTTCCCTAGGCATGTTGCAAAAGTGGTATGGTATGGCATGATTGCATGGCGAACACAAGCGAAAAAGCCTAACATGAAAATTATGACATGTATGTCATGTAACAACATGACTACATGCTGCGCTCATAATGCGTTCGCGGCCGTTTCACTTGCTTTACATGTACCAAACTAGGTATTGCTCAACGCGCACGGACGACATAGGTAAATGACACATACAAGGATGATAATCACGATATTCGTGTCAAGTAACATCATGACTATATGCCACACTAACGATGCGCTCGTGGCCCTTTCGCTAGCTTCACATATGCCAAATTTAGTATTATGTGACGCCAATGGATGACGAAGGTATGTGACTGGCGCAAGCATGGTAATCATGAGATGCGTGTCATGTGAGGACATGACTACATGCCACAATGAAGGCGCCGATACATTTCGACGTGACGTGGTGCGCGTGCTCGCCGGCGTTCATTTCGTCGCGTCACGCTGGCGTTGCCACACTGCAGGCTCCAGTGCTGCCATATACTCGCAGGCGCGCGCCACGCTGCGTTGCTTTGACGCATGCGCGTTTCAGCGCGTCCGGTGTCCTTCCGTCACGAGAAGAGGGAGAGGCAGTGCTGTCTGGGTAACGCGTCGGCGCGAAATGCAGCATGTCGCCTTTCACGCCAGTTGCCGTCGGGCCGCGCTGACGGACGCTGGTTGCGCATGGCGTCTTTGCAAACGTAGCGTCGTCGTGCCCAGCCTACGCGCGCATCAACGCTACATTGGAGTATATTGGGCTCTTCATAATGTGTTCGCGGCCGTTTTCCTAGCTTCACATATACTGAATTTGGTGTTACGTGACGTCAATGAATGGTAAAGTATAAAACATAATAATCCTGTCCCGCGTGTCATGTAAAAACATGACAACACACATCGCTTATAGCAAGCTCGCGGCCGTTTCGCTACCTCTACATATACTAAACTTGTTACCACGTGACGTGAAGAGATGAAGAAGGTAAACCAGACAACCAAATTTGATATTCATAACACGGCATAACACGGCAGTCACGTACGGCATGATTCACCTCCGCCTCGTAACGTTTTGCTGATTTTAAAGTGACATATCAACATTTCTCATTCGTGCTTTGCATATCATCAATTCCGACTGTATACGTGGGATCTGCTAATTTTTTAATCTTTCTTTGGGGACCTTCCACGCAAACATTTTGGTCTGTCTGTCTGTGCTTGTGTCTGTTTGTACATGTGTCTGTACATGCTTAACGGTACCGTGTACTCTGAACGCACTAACCCATACCCCAAACGGCTGACCCCATCCGCAGCACCCTCCTATGTTGCTCAAGATTCAGCGTTTATACTTGTGCAATTGTCAATTAAAAAGCAATTATTGCGCATATCTGAGGCACCATAACAGCACGTATATATTCTGTATGTGAGTCTTTTACTAAAAAAGGGATACAAAGTTAATTCTAAGGACCGTAGCGTCTATCACGCTGCGCTGACCATGCAACGCTTGCACGAAAAGCGCGAGTTGGTTGGTTGGTTGCGAAACTTTATTGAGGTCCTGCAAGGCGCGCGTCAGCGCGGAGCAGGCGACTCCCACGTCTAGACCGTTAGGCCAAGCCTATCGGCCGCTCCGCGGGCCTGCTGGACGGCCCAAAGTTGGTCGGCCAGAAGGGAGCTGCGTAGGGCCGCCTCCCACCTGACCGATGTAGTGTCGGGGTTAGTGTACATTGCCTTGCACTCCCAGAGCATGTGCGCCAGCGTGGATACATCCCCACATGCGGGGCAAGCGTCATTGGGAAACACGTCAGGATAAATAGCGTGAAGGGATCTCAGGTTAGGGTACGTGTCGGTTTGCAGTAGTCTGAGTGTAAGGGCCTGTGGCCTATTAAGATTTGGATGAGGGAGTGGATATAGTCTCCGCGCCAGGTAAAAATATTTTGTTATTTCGTTGTACGTGGCAGGCGCGTCCCTGTTTTCCGCAACCCCGTTGGCCCCGAATCGTTGCCCGGGACCCACGCGGTCGGTTAGTGCGCGCGCGGCCTCGTGGGCAGACTCGTTGAGCTTGGGGGGAGCGCCTTGGACCTGTCCAACATGTGCAGGAAACCAAATCAGTACGTGGTGCTTGATGCCGTCGCGGCCATTACTTTGGAGCACACGCAGGGCTTTTTTTGGAGATTACACCGCGCTCGAAAGCGCGAATAGCTGACCTAGAGTCACTATAGATGACCTCCCTTTCACCTTCCAGGATGGCCAGGGCGATGG